ACATTCATAAAACTCCACCCACTCATAATCCCACTCACCATCACAATCACTATTCCACTCACTATCACCAACTTCACTTAACTTTTCTTCACTGTTTTCAAAATTTTCTATTTCATCACCAACTTCACTTTCCACTTCACTTTTCACTTCACCTTTCCAATAATTATACAACTTATATCCACAATAAACCATCACCATCACTCCACCAACACCAATAATTGTTTTTTTATTCATTTTCAGTTTTTTTCACTTCTCACTTTAACTTTCAATTAAAGAATGAATTGTTGATGAAATTTTCTTTTATATGCTAACTGCGATCGGAAAATTTTTAGGCCTGAAAAAATTTATGAATTTGTTCAACAGCTTTTTATCAAATGTTGGATCAGTTATGTTTATTAAAAAACTCAAGATTTTTACAAAAACCTGAATGATGTGTATATTGAAGCATTTCCTAATTTCCTATTTTTAAGTTTTAAATTTTTCTTCCATCAATCAAAAATTTTCGTCCATTCATTCAAGTTTTATTTTATTTTTCTCTTAATTTCTATAGAACTGGCGTACATTGCAATGTATTGTTAGTTTCTTCCAACAAGCGGAAGTAGTGAAACGTGTGAAATTCCATTCGGTTGCGGTTTAATTCACTGAAGATGCCCACAAATCACATTAGAGCCTAGCGACCGACAGCAAGCCTCATTGTGTGATAATGGAATCTATGAACAGAGTAATTCAATTATCTTTTGTGATGATGTGTCATGTCCAGGATGAGTTATTATCTCTTTATTTCTTTATCTATTTTTCTCTTTAATAGTCTTCGAGTAAAAAGCTCATCTCATGTTCTTTATTCTTTGTTATAGTTGAATGTGAACAGAATAAATAATAGAAAAACATGACAGTAGATAATTATTTGACAACTTTGCTTGAAACTTCTTATTCTTCTGTTGTTTAATTCAATCGAAAGAAATCTTTAAGTTAGTCCCAATGTGGACCACATCCAAGTTAAGTAGGTCAATTTTGGAATTAAAATGACATTCCGTAAAGATGTTGCTATAAGCGATAGCTTAAGAACTGACAATTCAAACCTTAAATCATTAATTTTGTTGATTCGTTGCGTATACACGCCCAAATATTATGCACGATGATAATTTCCATTAACATTTTGGACACATTTCAAGTTAATCACTACAATAAATTATCTTCTTCTCTTAAGGATGTCATGAGAGCTGCCTTAAATAGTTTCAAGATGTCTCTACATTGATCACCTTCATCATCTTTATGATGATAACGAAAAATCTTAAATGAAACTTTTGTGAATGAAAACAGGACAAACAAATTCAATCAGGGTTGGGCAATACACAATTGAAATAATTGAAATGAGTTGTGAAACAAAACCAAGTAATTTATTCAGCTTTAGTTAGAATAGAACTCGATTTGTAACATTTTAAGCGCACATATTAGATGGTCAATTAGCAATACATCTACTATCAAAAAGATCCCACTTAAAGCCACGTGGGCATCCTTCCACGATGTCATTGTAAAACTCACATCTGCAATATGGTTCGGGTCTCCAGGCAGTCCACTGTCGACTACAAGCTGTTTCTGGTCCACACGGTATGACATCTCCTTCATCTTAAACAATATCAAAATGAGAATTACTATAAAAACGTTTTCTAAGAAGCTTCTTACTTTCACAACAACAAACTTCCTTCCCGTCTTTAACGTGTTTGGCAAGAACAAGGTTTTTACCACAAGCAGGAACTGCTGGACAGTCTACCCATGACACGGTATAAGGTTTTATGATGCACTGAGAAACTAGTGATGCATTTTCTTCAGTTGCATTTCCTAAATTCTAAAATATATTTTGTATTGCAATAAATTCGAAAATAGCTT